ATATTAAGGTAATATTATGTAGTTAAAGAAATAATGTTTTGATATTAAAAAACTAAAAATAAAATAGACACAATACAAAAATTGAAGTTTATGACGTAAAAATAAATTAAAGCAAAATAGTAAATAAGAAAAAAAATATAATCTTATCAAACTATATGAATGAGGATCTGTCTCTTTCATCTTAAATTTATTAATTATTAATTACAATAATTATTTTTTTAAAATGTTTTCAAAGTGAGAACTTTATATTGCTCTCTCTGCCCACAATGATTCATTACTATCTATGAAAACATAATTTCAATGCAAAATTCATTTGAACCGGACAATTCTTATTTGTTGTCAATGTTTTTTAAAAGAATACAACAATAATCTTTTTGTGTATTTTCTTAAATTATTTACTCATTCTTTTATCTTTTGTATATTATGTAATAAGGAGGAATGAACCAAAATTAAAGAATTGAAATTTGAGAAAGAAACTGAATACTATATACTGCCATGAAATCATTGAAATTGAAATCATTGAAAAATGTGGGATAAAGATCACATGACCAAGAAAAATAAAATAAGAACAACAGCAATCAAAAAGTTATTAAGATAAATAAGAAAACTAATACTAAAATATAAATCAAACGTGAAAGAACATTAACTAAATATTAAATCAAACTTGAAAACAACATTAACTAAATATTAAAACACGAAGGTATCATGAATATATAACTTAGTAATCCACATAAAAATATTAAAATAATCTAAAAAAAATAAAAGTTGAAGATAATACGAGTACATAATTTTGTTACTCTACCTCTTAATCGATTAAATATGTTTCTGGATTCTCAAATTTTCTTTTGACATGGTTCAGTTTTCACTCATGAAGATAAGAAAAATCTTCATTAATATTTTGGAAATGAGTTTTAGGTCATAAAAGAAAAAGACATAATCTTTCATTTTATAGATTATTTGTTATGGCACCTATACGTGGATAGATGCATCTCTTCATTAAACAGTTGTACTTTTCATCGGATTAACTTCTCTCAACACACCTTTTCACTCGAACAGTTACAACTCTTTTGGATTAAACTCCTTGTTTCATCAAATGGTCACAACTTTTTTTGGACTTGTTATCTCAACAGACACTTTAACTCGAATAGTCGTGTCTCTCGTAGAAAATTGAAGGACAAAATAGGTATGTATTTAAAAGTTGGGGGCAAAATGGGAGGTAAATATTCTCCTCCATAGTCCCATTTAAATATAGTATAGATGAACAATTTGTTATCTTTTTTCGAGGCTATCTTGGGGCTCAAGATCAATCGAGGTAAGAGGTCGATTTTGAGTATTAATTGTGAGTCCTCTAAGATTCTTTATTGGGCTACTTAGTATGTTGCGAAGTGGGTATGTTCCTGACTTCTTATTTGGGTCTTCCACTAGGGCAGAATTCTAAGACTCTTGCTTTCTGGGCCTCGGTGTTGGAGAAGATTCAGAAGTGTTTGTCTAGGCTTTAAGTGGGATTCGACGTATTACTTCTCTCTTTTCAAAGCCCTGTACTGTGTGTAATTTTTTGGAAAAAATAATGAGAGATTTTTTTTTGGGAGTGGGTGGATAAGAGGGGTGAAGTTCACTTAATTAGTTGGGGGATTGTTTCCAAGTTGTTAGAGGCAGGAGGTCTTGGTATCGGGAACTTGAGACACAAAACCGATGCGCTTTTGGCTAAATGGTTGTGGCGGTTCTTCCAAGAACCTAGGACTTTGTGACGGAGGATTATCGTAAGTATGGGCTACACCCTTTTAACTGGGTATCAGATGGAGGGCTTAAGATTTGTGCTAGTAACAGTACTTGGAAGGCTATTTCCTCAGGTTTTCCTTTCTTTTCCCAATTCTTGTCTTATGTGTTGGGGATTGTCATGACACTTATTTTTGGGAGGACCTTTGGGTGGGAGAAAAACTTATTCGTTCTTTATTTCCTCATCTTTTTCTCTTATTGGATAGGAGGTTGCATTAGGTGGCTTTGGTGCTAGGTTTTGGGGGGATGAGCTATTTCCTTAGGCTTCAATCGGTCTTTGACTCACAGAGAGTATCGATAAGCGGTTGAGTTGCTCCATTTGCTATTTTATGCTCATCTCTTTCGTGATAGGAAGGATTTTCGTGCTTGGTCCCGCAGTCCGTCTAAGGGCTTCTCTTGTAGCTCCTTTTTTAAACTTTTGTGCTCTCTCAATTCTCCATCCACTGCCCTAGTGTTTGCCTCACTTTGGAAAGTGAAAATTCTGAAGAAGATTAAGTTTTTCGTGTGGCAGGTCTTACTTGGAAAAGTCAATACCCTGGACGACTTCAGAGGCGTTCTTCTTCCTGTTTGGGGCCGCAATGTGTGTTCTTTGCAAGCAGGATTCATAGGATATTG